CCGCCGCAGCGCCGCCTCCAGCTCCCCTGCGGCCCGCGGGCAGCCCGCCAGCCCCGCCCCGCGCCTCGTGCGTCCTGAGCCAGGCCAGGGCCGCGCACGAGCCTCTCGCCTGGCTGGAGGCAAAAGCCACCGGAGATCGGGCAGCTGCGAAGCCCTGCTTTTCACCAGCCGCCCCCCATCCCAAGAGGGACTTGCACTGCAGTCCCTTGCACTGCAAAATCGCCGCCTGCTCCAGGGTCCCGAGCACAAGGGAACACGTTCCTGCTTTGGAGGGGGGGCTGGTGATTTTGTTTTTCCTCGTCCTAAAGAAAAAGGGCCACGTAGATTTCATGGGCGCTCAGGCTGGAAGAGACTTTGCGAGATCAGCCCCATTGGCGACACGGGTGCATGTGCACACTCTGAGCGTGGCGGTGCACCCCTGGCGAAAAGGCACCACCACCACCGATGATTGCTGCTGGATGCCGGTTGCCAACCACTGGTCGGTGTTCGCCACCTCCCCCCACCCACCGCTGACACCACCATGGTTGCCTGCGGCCGCTCCCCACTTGCTTCCACCACACTGCCACTGCCAGCAGCGCTACCACCGTCTGCGGGAGCTCACCATGCCCCCTGGACTCCAGGGGCATGCATCGTTCGTGGCCAGCCCCTTGCCCAAAGGCAAGCAGTCAGCAGCAGCGTTCCCTCTAAGTTGCGTGGCATGCGCGGCCGCACAGGTGCACTCATGCTGCACTGCCGGGCATGTCGGCAGCTTAGAGGGAACGCCGGTCAGCAGGGGTCGAATGATCCCGGCAAGGCAGGCATCCACATGTTTCTGAAAGGAGTCCAGAGTAGATGCCTGCATCACCTCTGCGGGGAGCCTATTCTAGGCCCTGGGGACTCGGACAGTAAATAAAGTTTTTCCTTATGTCCAGCCTAAAACTGTCTTCCAGGAATTTGTGACCATTGGACCTAGTCTTCCCGTGGGGTGCCCTGGTGAACAGCCCTTGTCTGATTTCAGCTGAGCACTGAAACATGCTCTGAGTCTGAGAAGTAAGGATCCTCACAAAGCTACCAGAGAGAGAAAGGGACAAAATCTCAATCCGTCATCCCACTTCAGAACCATCTATACAATTTAATAGAACATTTCAGGGATTTTTGAACATCACACTGAAGTCACACATTCCCTCTTGCAAACAGAATTCTAAAAGCCATAAAAATGATAAGAATCCTAACACTAATGGATGTAATGTGTACTAATTCATTATATCCATTATAGAGTCATTTAAATACCACTCAGTACTGACCATAAGCAAACTAAATTCTACTTATTTTTCTGAGAAGAAGAATATACCAGGAGCTGACACAAAACAGAGAAGGGTTCCAAGCACTTCAGAGGATACGAGACAAAAGAGCCTTAGTTAAGTTGGATAACTGGGCTATCAACAACAAATGAAATTTAAGCACAGGCAAATGTAAAGTGCTGCACCCCAGGAAGAAAAACCAATTGCACAAATACAGAACAAGAAAAAAATTGGCTAGGCAGTACTATGGCAGAGATGGACCTGAGGTTTTTGGTATATCATATTCCCAACTTGAGCCAGCAATGTGATGCAACCACCAAAAATGTAATTTGGGGCTGTATTAACAGGAGCATTGTATGTAAGACAGTAGTATGTAGTGGTACCACTTTACTTGGAGCGCTTGGTATTGGTTAGGTCTCTGCTGGAGTATTGGGTGCACTTCTGGGCTCCACATTTTAGGTAGGATGTAAGTGGAGAGGATCCATAGGTAAGCAATAAAGATTAGAAATAGGGTGACCATATTCTTATTAAGGAAATTTGGGACACTGTCCCCCCGGGCACCATACCACGCCACTCCATCTCTCCACTGGCCAGCAGGATGAGGGGGCAGGGACTGTTCACAGGGACATGGGGAGAGTGGGTCAGGGAAACAGGTGGCTGGGGCTCCGCTGGGCAAGAGATCAAGAGGAGGAGGAGAAGGAAGGCTGACTGGGAGGCTGCGGTTGAGCAGGGAGAAAGTTG